TCCTTATCAGCTGAGCCAGGGAAATATGTATGTATTTATCAGTACAAATACAACACAAATGTAACAAAGGGAACAGTAAAAAATATTGGGTTTCTGTCTGGATGGTCTCTTGTGACGAGCCGATAGACAGAGAATGGAAGCAGTAGACTTCCTCCCATATTTGGGCATACCAGGGGTTGTGATATATATATGAGAGAGAGGTAAGAGTAATTATATCAATACATAATAACATAAATAATTATTCATGTTATTAAAAATAATATATAATGTTTGCATAATATAATGTGTAATTACAATTACATTTTAACATTTTATTTCATATTAATATAATTACATTGCTTATTTTTATATGTTAGTACACAGAGATGAAAAGATGTGGTGAAAGTGAAGTTGTAACAAATTAAGTAATGTCCTGGTTATGACAACTTAAGCAATTTAAGTTGGTGTTATGAAGAAAGAGTGGTATGCAGCAAGGGAATATTTCTAGAAAAACCTTTCACAACGAAGGCGTCACAAAAAGGATACTGTCATAATGTCATCTTAAGTTATTTCAGCAAGGTGATTCACAGTGAATTATGGATAACAACTTTAACAAATGAGCAATGTAGGAAAACCTGGATGTTGAAAAATCATAGTCCTAAAGTTGCTTAGAATATTAATGTTGTTTCCTTACTTATGTTTTAGGACATTAATGATGATACGGAAGAAAATACCTTGAGTAAGTTTCCAGATGTGACAGAAAAGGTCATTTCATCACAGCAAAGAGATACAGATAAAGATGATAAATTGGAGTGTGCTGAAAACAGTGATCTTTCATTAGAACCAAGTCCACCACTTTCTGTGCACTCTTCTCCGGTGTATAAACTACAGACAGAAGAGACTGCTGGAATATCTCAGCCAGTACCTAATGATGATTCTACTCCAAATTCTCCTGCTGGATATTGCCGAAATGTTAAGCAAAGAGAATCAAAAGGAAAGGGGAAAGTGAACAAAGGTAAGATTAAGATGATTGTATTATGTTCAGCCAACTGGGTATCATTGTGGTTGAAATAATTTCTTATATCTGCACTGTCACAGAACCTGAAGGTTTTCTTGGAGAAATGTGGATATCTGCTTCAGAAAAGGCACAAAGAGAATAGAGTCCATAGCAATTTTGTAACACATAAAGGCAGAATATTTATTCAGTGTAATGTTTGCATAGGGCCATTTCAATTATTGGGTTCCTTCAGGATCCACAACTGGACAAATCTCTACTAAGGAGCATGACTGATTTTCCATGAAACGAATCCCTCCTCCAAACTTTTAAAGGGTTTACCCTTTTTAAACCTTGATTTACAAGCCTCTTTTTTAAAGATAAATTATTAATTCAAATAATGACCCATGCCCTATACTTGCTTTAATGAGCATGCTAGAGTGCTCTGTACTGTGATATTTAGTCACCCATTTACTAATTTTATGCTCCCCTCCACCATATAATGCTCCTCTTCCTCATTACGCTTTTGCTTTTATATATATATATAATTTTAAATCCTCTAGCTTTTTTATAATTATGACTTTTTTTAGACTGTTGGATTTTCTATGCTTTTTAATTCACTGTACCCCATCTGCCTTATTCTAGTCTTTGACCGTTTCTCTTTTTGTAAGCCGCCCGGAGTCCTTCGGGATTGGGCGGCCTATACATTTTATAAATGAATGAATGAATGAATGAATGAATGAATGAATGAACGAATAAATGAATGAATGAATAAACAAATAAACAAACAAACAAACAAACAAATAAATAAATAAATACAGGAGCACAGTGGTTCTCATGATTAGGATGCTGGGTTGAAGGTTAGCAAGTACATTTTCAAGAGCCAAGTGCTACTATAGGGCAGGGTGAGCGCCTGTCCGTCCCTCTAGCTCCTGCCAGGAACATGAAAGGAGCTTGCAACTGGAAGTCCCCCTGGACAACAATGATATTACCAGCTAATCCTTTCAACTTGGAAGTGTGTCAGTGCTTCTGACACAAGTAGAATGACAATCATAATAAACATTTGATATTAGCTGAATCTGTTCAGTGAAGATAAAATATGTCCTGATCACATATTAAAGCTATTCATAAACTATAAGACCAAAGTGCAAGGGATGTAACTCTGGCCACAATCTGAAGTAATACAGTTTACAAAATGCAAGTAATAAGCTACCATGGGATTGTAACGGCAACTTTTTGCTAAGTTTAGCAAGGCCGAATTTTGTTCTAATTCATGTTATAATTTCTATTGCAGTTACATAAATGCCTAGACGTGGTGGAATAATTATTACTTTATCATTTTAAAACATGAAGCACTTTACCAAATATTACATCGTATTTCCATTCGTGCAATGATAATTCTCCATTCCCCTCCCCTCCTTTCTTCTATTCTGGGTATATTGCTGTCAGAATATTTTTATAGAATGATTTACATTACATGTAATATAAATGATAGATGGGAAACATAGATAGATAGATGGATGTGTATCAGTTAATATCTCCTCACCAAGACAATCGTGTACATATTAGGTTCGTGATAATTATGCGTTGACATTGTGTGAACCATCCTTATTTTGGTGGGATTATTCTTCTTCCCACACAGGTCTTCCCTGCCACCATGTTGGTTTTTCTTCTCTCAAGTAGTCTTTCTCAAGTGATGATCAGCAGTCTATTACCTCTTATTTTCTAAAAACAGTGCAATAAAAAGAAAGCATTAAATGGATCATGGGAAGTGGAAGAGATTTAGAAAAGTCATTCCCTAGAATTTGACAGGATATATTTGTTAGGTTAGGATAGTATAGGTTTAGTCTGGCAAAATTCTATCTATACAGTGTGTGTACAGTGTATGTTAATAAAGACTGAACTTTGGCTGATCTAGGCCCAACAGATCCTCAAAGTTCCAGTTATTGCAGCCTCCTTGCAGTCATTTTCTAATAATTTTATTAAAGATTATACAGATAAAACTAATAAAACTAGACTTGCAGCCCTCAAGGTTTTCAATCTTTAATGAGCAATAAAAAATTCACTCCAAAGTAATTAAAAAGCTCAGGTTTGGTTGAACCTTGAGTCCATAAAAGACTACATTAATGGCTTTGAGCTCATTGCAGTCTGAGGATTCTCAGATGTCTGTAAGACATTGTAAAAGGTGCAGTTTTGCCTTCTACTGACCTTCTCCTCCCCTCCCCCCTCCACAGTCTGGAGTTCATATGCATAATCTAAAGATATGTCCTTGCTCCAGAGAGAATTCAGCAACCTGGATATAGCATCTAATTGCCTTTTGGCCATAATGTCTCCTGCTGTCCACAGGGCATCAGGCCACCATTCTTCCCCAGAAGCAACCATCCCACAAGCAAAGTCGATGAGGAAGACAGCAGGAAGTCAGATGTCACAGTTATGTGAGGTCCTTACTTAACGACCTGTGTAATCTTGCTTCACAACAGTGGCATGAACTGCTCTTGCTAAATGATGAGGTCACTTGATGTCACACTTTATGATCGCAGAGCATAGTAATGGCAATATCGGTCCAAATTGCCATTGTACGCAGAGAATTACCTGTATTTGGGATTCTTGTTACATGTTTTATTTTAGATTGATTTAACCATGATTTGTTAGAATAGTGGGCCCCTCTTTTTTTCAATTTACAGTTCAGTATACTTGAAGATTGCCCTCCTTATTGTTATTATATGCTGATAATATTTTGCATTTTATAGAGTAGAAATGTATGTTCCCAATCTTATTAATATATGATATAACATATAAATTCTATAAACAGTAAATCAGACTTGATGCTGTAACAACATTTAGAAAAGTGTAAGGACTGAGCTTTTTAGTTTATGGTATATATTGTCTTCTTTATTACAACATGAAAATTCCCACAGTATTTTCAGCTGATGACCTTTTCCCATTTTGGAAATGAAAGATAATCCAGACAGATGAGTACTTGGTGTAAGATGTATACTTAAGATAAATGCAGCACAGCAGTTGATTTATATTTTAAGAGGCTTTTACATATTTATTATTTCATCCAATTACCTTAAACAAATTTGTAAGGTAATGAATAGATTTGTATGGCAAGGACTTCCAGGAAGATTTCATTGCATAAATTACAAGTGCCTGCTAAGAGAGATGGATTTAACTTCCCACATATTCCAGTTCATTCTTGTTTCTTTATTATAATGTTGACTACTGTCTGGAATAAGGAATTTCAAATTTTATCCTCACTGGATCAATATATACCCTATTGAAATTTTGGCAAGTAATAGGAACTCGGCAAAGGCAGTTTAAAATGAATGGACCCTTCAACTATGCAAGACAAACAGTGTAAAAAAAGTAGATTGGTACATTAACAGAATAATAGAGTTGGAAGGGACTTTAGAGGTCTTCTAGTCCAACCTCCTGCTCAGGAAGGAAACTCTATACCATCTCAAACAAATTGGTTATTCAATCTCCTCTTAAAAACTCCAACGTAAATATTGGAGCATTTACAATTTCTGGAGGCAAATTGTTCCTGATTAATTGTTCTAACTATCAGGAAATTTCTTAGTTCTAGATTGTCTCTCTCCTTTATTAGTTTCCATCTGTTGCTTCTTAGCCTGACTTCAAGTGCTTTGAAGAATAGCTTGACTCCCTCTTCTTTGTGGCAACCCCTGAGATATTGGAACACTGCTACCATGCCACCACAGTTCTTTTCATTTAACTAGACATACCCAATTCCAGCAACCATTCTTTATATGTTTCAACCTCCAATCCCATAATCATCTTTGTTGCTCTTCTCTACGCCCTTTCTAGAGTCTCAATATCTTTTTTTTTACAAGTGTGGCCTTACCAAGGTATTATAAAGTAGTATTAACACTTCATGTGATCATGATGCTATGTCTCTGTTAATGGAGTCTAGGACTGCATTGGCTTTTTGGCAACTCCAGCACACTGCTAGCTCATATTTCAGTGATTATCCACTAGGATTCTTAAGATCCCTCTCACAATTATTACTATTGAGCCAGGTTCCACTTATATTATAAATGTGTATTTGGTTTTTCTTGACTAAATGTAGATTCTTACTCCCCCATACATTTCACTTTCTTAGATAGTGCCCAATGTTCAAATCTGCCAAGATCTTCTGTGTCTTAAACCTATCTTCTGGACTCTACCTGCCAGCTTGGTGTCTTAGTATTCAACTACTTAGAAACTCACTGAATTTGGTATTCAGTGCATTTTGATATGAAAATTTTGTCCTGGTACTCGTTTGTGTGGGTCTCGATCAAAAGCTAGAGTTTGCTAATGTCAGCTACCTTGTGACTCACTACATTATTCCTTATTGGAAAAAATTATTTGATACTCATTGCTTTGGTATTCATTGCGCTTCCTGGAACCAATTAATGTTGAGTACACAGTTGAGTCACAGATATAACTGAACCATTTACCCATAAAATGTCATGTACAATCACAGTTAAAAATAATATATTTCTGGCAAACAAAGACTTTAAGATAATACAAGCCATTGGTAAGTGTGCACATGCAGCCTACAGAATTTATGCTTTACGAATAAATTAATTTGCTGTGTACTATGTGGACCAGAATATTCTGCACAGTTTAGAATGGTGCATTATTCTTGTCTTTTCTTACTGTATCTTTTGCCTTTCTGCTCATCTTGCTGCACTATATTTTATCCTGCTATTTTTATTATGATAAGCTTGATGGTTTTGTAACGTAAAATGTAAAAGTTATGTTGCTTCTTAGCTTACAACTCTTTATAGTGAGTTTGAAGGAATTTCATAGTAGTTATCTCTAGGCCTTGGCTATAAAGAGTTTAAAGGTCCTAATCTGATAAATCAATGGAGGATCAATTGATTTTGATACAACAACATATGTCATCTATATTGGACACCTCAAAGAATGTTTGAAAAGATGTGACTATAATTAATATTTGGGTAATTGTAGATTCCCTCAGGAGTCAAAATGTAAACACATATGGTTTAACTGTATCCTATTATTATTATTGCGCTTGGAGCCGACATCAGCAAGATTATTAATATGACTCTGGTTCTATTGCAGTATGGTAAGAATATGCATATTATTCTTGGCTGTATCCCCAGTATTTGGAATATATTGAGAAAGAGTGGATTTAGAGAGCGTGGGAGTTGACCAGAAAAATTAGACAACGCTAGAAAGAAAAATTGATTTGCAACAGTGTTTTGAACCAATTTTTGAAGTAGCTTGTTTTTGGCAAGACTTTAAGGAATATTATCAGTGTTTGGAATTACTTATTAATGTGATTTTAGGCCTTTTTTCTTTTCATTTATATGTTGTTATATTTATTAAAGTTGTGGTCCATTAGTATTGTTACACACATTTATATAATAGTATTTGTTTGCATACTATTGTTACAAAAAAGTTCCACAAATGAAATATTTTCAATAGTACTCAGCCACTTTCTACTTCTCACTCATAATCCCAATCTTCCAATTTTGCTGCACTTTATTAAGATTCTTGAAATCTTAATTTTGGCATGTCCTAAAGATTTGAGAATCTCTCCAGAGTTTAAGAGATCTTGAATCTTTTTTGTTCAAGCCCCCACTTATCCCACCATTATGTCACAATGCTTTCATTATCATTGAAGTTTTACACTGTGGACTGAACACCAAACTCTATTTCATCCCCAAATGTAAGTTTTTGTTAAGGTTTTATATCGTCTAATACATTAAAAAAGAGGGTATTAAAAAGTATTACAAATGCATGGATATATGTTTTACTTTACTTTAATAATCCAGGTCTTAAAATTGTTTAAAAAGAGGGCAGAAGAAAAAAAAGAAAGGAAATGATAATATTGTTTTGTTTATCATTTTTTTTCTTACCTATGTTTTAATTACATTAGCCCATGCTATAAATGCTAGTAATGCAATTTTAGCAATTGTTATTTTGGGACCTTTAATAAGAGATATTGAATGTAAAATTCACCTGAGCCGCCTGGGAATAAAAGCTCCAATATGGTAAAGAGCTTCTAAGAAGTCTATAGAAAATGCAGTGAAGCGGGTCGTGAGACAAGGATTTAATGGCCCCTGAGCTACATGAACAGAAAAACTCTCTCTCTTTCTCTATCTATGGGACCTTCCTATATTGGCCTTCAAGAACTGCTGATGGAAAAAATAGAACAGTGAAAAAGCTTTTCAATATTTAGCGATCATTAAGCAATCTAAATATCACTCTGGCTTGGGGGGATTCATACAACTTCCTAAAACTGTCCTCAGTTTACTGTATTCTCTGTTTTTATGGGAGTTGTATTTTTTTCAGTGTGTCCCAGTAGATAAAAAATTGATTGCTGTTTCTCAGAGCAGTAGAGATTCTTCTCATTGATGGCTAGATTTTAAAGTATTTCAGATGCTATTGAGAATTTATTTCCTTGTATCCTGCCTTTATTATTTTTTCAAATAACTCAAGATGATGAATACTTCCAACACACCTTCCTCCTATTTTCCTACAATAGCCCTTATCAGATGGGTTGGACTAAGAGAGATTCACTGGCCACAATCACCCAGTTTTTTACTGGAATCAGACAACATCAGGATTTTCCTCCTCAACTTTTGAATGGGCATCATTTCCTGCCTTATTATGTGCCTCTTTCAAATTAGATAGGCAGAATTAACCTGTAGATACTAGGTCTTGTCTTGAGAATTCGCTATCTTTATAAATCTTCACCATTGGAAATTGCAAAAGTATTTCTTTTTAGAATCTGTTATTTTAAAAACATGGTGTAGGGTTTTTTTTATCTTGGAGGAAAGTTTATTTTAATTTTCCTATACCTGTTACGTAATTATTTACTGTATTTTATTCACTGTTCTTAAGATCTATGAGTTATCACCTTAAGAAAGTATTGCTCAGTAATATCTCATTTAACCTTATGTAGAATTGCTCCATTTTCTCTCATCGTTTGATTAAATGAACATTATGGTACATAATTTATATCAGTAAATATATTTATTACAGATGACAAAAGAGGTGAAGAAAAGGCTGAATCCGGGGATGGTCCTTCTGTGGGGAAATCCAAAAGACGTTTTCCTGATTTTGGGTATGACTTGTTTGGTTTTAACAAAGAAAGTTAATATTCTTGCATTGGTTTCTTAAACTACAGTTCTGTTACATTAAAATTAGACATTCATCTGAATAATTATTAGAATAGAATAGAATTGTTTATTGGCCAAGTTATTGCTGATAATGATGATGAAGATGATGATGATGATAATAATAATAATAATAATTTAAAGGTTATTTAGAGGTTATTTAAAGCGAATGTATGAATTATGGAAAGAACAATATCCAGATTCAAATGTTAGTGAACAACGACTAGCAAATCAAAGGCGATTTATTATACGGAATAAAGTGTTTAGTGAAGTTGAACTTGAGGAAATTCAGGCAAATTGCAAAACCAAAAAAACAATATCACAAGCAGAAATAACTATTCAAGACACAACTAAAGACATTATCGTAGAACTCCCAGAAGAAGCTCTAGAACTCCCAGAAGAAGCTCTCGA